AGTGATTCTGTATTTTTTCTCTGACTCTATATTTGCGATTTAAAATTTTAATCAATAAAATTTTAAAGGAAATCAGTGACACTCAGAAAAAAAAGATATATTTGACTCAGAGAATATATTTTATTTGGTTCAAAAAAATTATATTTGTTGGGAATAATTTTTATCTGGTTCAACTGAATGTTAATTGAAATAAATAAATTCTATTTGGTTTAAACAAAAATTTCATTTTAAAATAAATTTTATTTATTTCAAAAAAAAAAAAATTCTGTTTTGTTCAAACAAAAATTTTATTTAGTTCAAAGATAAAAATTTTACTTGGTTAAAACAAATATTGACTTAAATAAATTTTAGTTAGTGGAAATATATTTTATTTGATTCAAATAAGTACTTCATTTGTTTCAAATCAAATTTATTTTATTTAAACATATACTTCGTTTGTTTATAATAAATTTTATTTGATTCAAAAATAAATTCTCCTTCGTTCAAACAAAAAATTTTACTTGGTTCAAATAAAAATTTCATTTGTAATTAAAAAATTTTTATTTAAAACAAATAAATATGTATTTTTGTCCGCTCTGCAAAAAATACATTTCTATTGTACTCAAATAAATTATATTTGGTTTAAATAAAACATTTATCTGTCAATTGGAGGAAATATATTTTATCTATCGTGGAAATATATATTATTTGGTTCAAGTGAATTTTAATTGAAGTAAATAAATTTTATTTGGTTCGTACAAAAATTTCATTTGTTTATAATAAATTTTATTTGGTACCAAAAAAATTTTACTTCGTTGAAGCAAAAATTTCATTTGTACTAATTAAAATTTTTATTTACAATAAATAAATAATTTAGTACGCTCTGCAAAAAATACACTTTGAATTGACTTTAATAAATTATATTTAGTTCAAATGAAACATTTCTCTGTTTACAAGAATAATTGAATTATCACTAATTTCTCAGTTTTTCTAAAAAATATTTTCTAATTTTTCATTTTTCAAATTTTTTTTTTTTCTAATAAAGGTGGATTTTTAAAAAATTTCTTTCTAATGAAGGTGATTTTCTAATTTTCTTTCTTCTAATAAAGGTCATTTTTTAAAAATTTCTTTTATTAACAATATTCAATTTTTGTAATGACGATCAATATAGGTATATGATTAAAAAATAAAATTTACGAAAATATTTTAATTCTTTTAAAAAAATACTTGAGATTTCGTTAAAAAATGTCACTGATTTCCAATCGTGAGAGTAGTAAACAAATTTTACTGATTTTTTTTTATTAAACCGCAAAACAATAGAGACGAAAATTTGAAAAAATCAAAAACATGAAGTATAGCAATAATTGCTAATTATTTATATTTAATTTTTTTATTACCCAAATAATAATAAATTTAGCGTATATGAATTAGGTGAGAGATTACGAGCAAATGAAACAGTTATTAGTATTCGTCGCAACAGTAGTTTTATAGTTCGAAAGTTTAAATTTACGAGATGATAAGAGTTACGAGCAGGAGATGGTCATATATATACTATATATAACTATATACATTTCTGTACATATATATGAGAGATGTATATATATTTTTTATATATATGTATACATATATCTATATTGAGAATTTTGAAATGAATTTTCACGACGAATAAAACGCCATCTTCGCGTAAATGTGCTAGGAAAATTTAGTTCTTCGAGATGCAAGTTTTCATAATAAAAGACGATGAAATTCGTTGACTACGTGTCGTATTCCGGAAATCGTGTCACGTGTTTGTGACTTGAGAAAAATACGACATCAGAAATAAAACATGAAGAAAAAAAAATACTACAATACTTGTTTTACTTTTTTTTATGTCTGTAAGGGAGGGAGAGAGAGAGAGAGAGGCAGACAGACAGAAAAAAAGAGAGAGTAAGAGAGAGAAAGACTATGGATACTTTACGCCTGGATTATCGAAGATCCTATCGATAATCTTGTTCGACCTCGTCGTAAAACATCCTGGCTTTCTGGGTTGAGTTTGCAGAGGCACTGATTTATTCCCTATTGCAATCGCATGAATCGCTTTTTGGTTTCACATTCAAGTCGTTTAATATCAAAGTGAACGGTCCACAAAAAAAAAAAAAAAAATTCACTGTTTTGTTCCCCTTCTCTCAGAGTAAAAGTAAAAAAAAGCCATTCAGGAAATGTATTGTTTTTCTATATTAAAAACGTTTGATTTCTGTCTCTATTTTTTGGGGTGGGGTGGGGGAAATGTTTTCAATTGTAAAAAAAAAGTTCAGTTAGAGACAATACCAATATACTGTTTTATGTAAACTGTAAATTGACTGAAACGAGTTAGAATTTTTTTTTAATAAAAATATATTCGTTTAATTTTCCCTCTTTTTTTAAGAGACAATTTTTTAAAAAATTTAATAAAAAAATTACAATTTTTTCAGAAAAATTTGGTGAACAGTTCTGGAAAATGTTATTTGATTACAGAACAAATAAGTTCGTTATAAATTGACAATGACTTTAGTTTTAAGTGAGAGATAATTTTTTTGGCAAAATATTTAACAAACGAATTTTTCACTGAAATAATTTTAAAAAATTTAAAATAAAATTAAAATTTTTAATTAACTATTAGTTAATTCAAAAATATTAAATAACTATTAGTTAATTAACTGTTAGTTAAATTTCCACTACCAGAATTTCAATTTTAAAAGATATAGTTTCACTTCGAAAATATTAAACGAAACAATTTTCTTACTGATTCGATTTACATATGTAAATCGAATCAGTATTAATATGCTGAAAAGTTCTGAAAAATCAAAATAACAACGGAAAAAAAGTAAATTACATATATTGTCCCTTAAAGTTCTTTAAATTTGGATGAGAAAATTTTTCAGTAAATATTTAATGAGTAAGAAATATTCAATTGAAGTTATTTTAACAAATTTTTTCTTCAAACAAATTTCGTAAAATAATTCATAAATAATTTATCGAATAATTTTACTTCAAATTTATTAACCTAAAATGCTGAATATGAAAGTTTAGTTTCTAACTTTTACTGTAATTAGCAATTTATGAAAATGTTTTCAATAAAACACATTTCGTTCATTTGAAAGTCATAAACTATTCATTATAAAATATAAACTAATCATTTAAAATTTGTGAAACTAGTTTAATTTCCAAAAAGTTGTATTTGCAGTTTTCTATATAAATTATTAAAAAGGTTTTAAATGTTTGGAAAATTTGAATTCCCGAGACAAAATGATGATTAAAAATATATTTTTAAAAAGAAATAGTAGGTAATTTTTTAATAGTTTTACAATTGAAGATATTTACAAATTAAATGGATGGATTCGTGTGAATTTTTAACTATATCCAAAAAATTTACATACTTATTTAAATAAATTTAAAATAGTGAATGATTAATTTTAAAATGACTCAAAGTTTAAATAAAATTGCTTTCATCTTAATTTCTCGAAAGGAATTTAATGGTCTTAAAATAAAATCGGTAAATATATTTTGACCCTTTTAGAATTTTTTTTTCTTAAAAATTGATAGACTTCAAAATCCATCCGCAATTTTGCAGAAAATATGTCTTTGTATCCACAAAAAAAAATTCCGAATGAAAAATTGATTTTTACCATTATTGAAGCATTTTTTTTAAATATTTTTTTTCAGGTAGAAAATCCTACAAAATAGTATCATTATTCAATTTTTTTACTTGCAAATATAATTGTTTATTTTTATAACTAATTTCGAATCATAATTTTATCATAATTTTTTTTTTTTTTTTTTGCTTCATTTCTCCTAATTATTATTACATCGAATTAGTATTTGTCAAAATTTTTATAATTTCTAATAATTTTTTATACAATTTTCCTCATTTGATAATGACCACTTTTTATAATTTTAATTTATTCGAATAATTATTTTAAATAATTTTTTATTACACTTATGAATCTAAATAAATAAATAAATTACTCGAATTTTTTTTCTATTTATTTTTACAATTAATGATTTTTTTTCTCATTCGTATTTTACATAATAAAACATTAATTCTAATTAGATCAAAAGAATTTCGGTAAAATAAAGAATCGGAAAATAAAAATTGAATTCATGCGCCTAGCCTCTTAAAAATACTAAAAATAAATGTTTTCATTAGTCAATTTTTTTTTGCACACAAAAACAAATTTTCTACAAAATTTCAGGTGGATTTTAGTCTATAAATTTCTAAGAATAATATAAATTCAAAAAAGGTCAAAGTATTTTTCGACCACTGAATTTATGTCAAAAAAATGCTATAAATACAATCTTATGAAATATTTAAATCATTTTCTTGTCTGTCTAATCAGGTTTATAGAATAAATTCGAATATTCTTTTTTGGTAAAAGTCAAAATTCTTTATGAAAAAATCCAGGAAGAGGAAAATGGAATTTTAGTGGCAAATTTAATTTTTTATAAATGAAATTAAAAATGAAAATGAGGGAAAAAGTTAAGAATATGGTAATAATTATGAAATTGTATGTACATAATTGTAAAAATAATTGTAGAGTAACGTAATTTATTTTGATAATTTATTTATTTTATTTATTTGAACATAAACATATTGTTGAGTATTAATATTAGTATAAATTATTATTAATATTTACTAGTGATATGAAATGAAACTAATATCTCATTTATATAGGTACGTTGTACAAGGTTTCTACAATTTCCTCTCAATTACTAACAGATATTATTATCATAGTTATTAATTATTGATATTTAATATATATTCTACAATTATATGTACTTCATTAATTGTTTGCCAATTATTTATCAATAATTTTTTTTTTCCTACGTTCCAATTTTTTGATAATTAGGAAAAGCCGGATTTAATTCGTTGAGGTCAAATTACAGGGTACATATACACACACAATATATATCGACTCTAGAATCCTAAAGCAGATCAATTTCCCGAGTGGCTTTAGCTTATATCCTCCTCTTTGATAATAATCCATGTGTACACTTACAATTAGTCCCGACGGTGGACCTCCGAGTCCAACAGCGTCCTCATACTCGACGCAAAGCCCGAGTCATCCTACACCCGCTCCGAGATGGCCACTCAAACCTGGCGTTCTCGTACACGTCAATCGCACTCACAGTCTCAGATCGGGTTTAAGCTCTCGATCCAATCAGGCATTGAGAATCCACTCGGACACCTCCTTGAGCGAACCATTTACCACCGAGAGAGATAGTGGGAATTGTCCTTCACTTATGAGAACGCCAGTGAGGCCATTCCGCCGTGGAAAGGATACAAATAGACAAAGGCCAATGAATGGAATTATTGGCATTCAAGATGACGGTATGTTTGCAAGAGCCAATAAAATAAGAGCTATTTTCAATGCGCAAATCAGCAAGGAGCAGGATTCATTTCCAGGAATATCGAGAGGAAAAACAGGTATGAAAATTATTGTCATATATATTTATTAGGGTGGTTCAAAGAAAAATGAATTTCATGCTCTCGCCTTGAGAATTTGGAGAAAATATTTTTAAAAATTAAACAGTATTTATTTTTTTGTTTTAACCTTCGCGGTACCAAAAACTTTTTTGTATCTTTACTACTATACCCCGGGTAGACAAAACGTTTTTTTTAATGCAAGGAGTAAAATTTGCCCCACATGTTCAAAAATAGCACTTTTAGATAATAGACGACAGTATTCTACTGACCCAGCTGAAAAAGTTCTATAGTATTTTACTAGAAACATTCTATATAAATTCTAGTGAATATTCTACACAATTTCACTAGAATGATTGTACAGAATTTCTACATAAATTCTACTAAATTTTAGTAATTTTTAATTAGAGTCAAATAAGAGAACATTTTACTTAAAAGTATGAATTAAATTTTTTCATAACTAAAACAGAAATTGAGTCTTCGACTCGGAGTAATCGATTTCTTCATGTTTTATAATAATTGAAAACGGCAAATTGATAAAATCATTATTTTGTTAAAGAATATTGTACTTCTTCAAAATTATTTTTATCATTTCAATTTAATTATTATTTTTTAAGAATTTTCCACTAAAATTTTTCTTTAAATCAAATAATTTTCAAAAAAGTTCTTCTACAATTTTCAAAATCCATTTATTAACAATATTCAATTCTACAAATTTCAATTATTCGTAAATTCTTCAATTAAATATATATATTCGAAAATAAAAACGTCAAATAATAAAAAAAAATTCAATTACACTTTTTCAAAAAAATTAATTACAAAAATTAATTATTTCTAAAAATTCACTGTATATTGCTTTTAATATTCAGTTATTATCTAAAATTTAAACTAAAATTCATTTTTTAATCAATTTTTTATTAGAAAATTCTACTAGAATTCAATTATTTAAATACAAATAAAATGCAAATAAATAATTTATTAAATAATTGAATATTTCTTAACTCAATTCCCATAAAGAATCGTTCTATAAATCCAGTACTTTTAATAATTTTGGAAAACGTTTTTTGAGAATTTTCAAATTCATTTGTTTACAATTCAATTTTACAAAATTTCAATTATTCCTAATTTCTTCAATTATATATATTAGAAAATAAAAACTTTAAATAATTTCAAAAAAAAACCACAATTAAAGTTTCTTAAAAAAAAATTAATTCCACAGAATTGTTAATTAAAATTATAAAAAATTCAAATTTTCAAAGATTTTAATCTGAAACCTTTTCAAAATTCAATTATTTGTCAAATAAATTTTTATTAGAAAATTCTACTAGAATTCAATTATTTAAATATAAAAATAAATAATTTATTAAACAATTAAATGTTTCTTAAAAAAATTCTCAAAAAAAAATTTATCAACATATTTTTAAATAATTGAATTCTTTCGACGATTTTTAATAAAATTTCTAAGAATAATTACATTTTCCGAGAAATTTAATATTATTGTATTAAAAATAATTTAAATTCTGCATTGGGTTTTATTATTTATGAAAATAATTGAATTCCTAAAAAGAATTTTACTATTTTTTTAAATAATTAAATTTCTGATTTTTCTATAATTCCATTATTTTTATTAGTTTTTGAAATAGAATCTTGAGAATTTTCAAATTCATTTGTTTTTCACTGAAATTCATATTTAAATCAATTTTTATTATAAAATTCTACAAGAATTCAATTATTATTTAAATACAAAAAATAATTTCTTGTATACTTCAATGATTTTTAAAATTGAATTCTCATAAAGAATTTTGTCAACAAATTTTTAAATAATTGAATTCGTTTGACGAATTTTAATAAAATTTTTTAAAATAATTACATTTATCGAGGAATTCGATTAAAATTCTATTAAAAATAATTTAAATTCTTCGATGAGTTTCACTATTTATGAAAATAATTAAATTCCTAAAAAGAATTTTATTATTTAGTAAAATAATTGAATCTCCGTAAAAATGTTATTATTTATAAAAATAATTGAATTATATTGCGAAGAAATTCTAAAAAATTTGTAAATAATTGTATTTCTGTAAAATTTTTATTATTTTATGAAAATAATAGATATTAAAAATCAGTAAATTGAGGGAAATTTTTGAAAACAATTGAAATTTTGCCAAGAATTTTATTATAATTTTTGAAAATAATTGTATTTTGGAGAAGAATTTTATTATTAATAAAGATAATTAAAATTTTTACAAGAATTTTACAAAAAATTTTAAACAGAATTGAATTTTTGCTAAGAATTTTATTACTTTTGAAAATAATTGAATTTTGCAATTATTTGTAATTTTGACAAAATTTTCCAAATTATATCGTACAATTTACGAACTTTTTGTCCTTTTTTAATCAAATTACGGATTTTTTAAAAAAAACTGACTTTTACAGACTTGAAACAAATTCACGGACCTTTACTGGATTTACGGACCTAGTTCGAGCCCTGTAGTAACCTTATAATAATAAATGTTAAAAAAATTATTTCACGAAATTTATATTCTTTCTAGTTAAAAATCACTAAAAGTTAGTAGAACTCTTCTACTCTTTTACTTTGTGTCTGACTTAAAATGACTTTTACTACTGGTATCAATTGTACAATTTTATGCCAGAAATCGTCTGACTGAAATTGACTATTACTACTTGTGGAAAAAAAGTAGAATTGAGGAATAATCCGTCAGACTAATACTGAAATTGAAAAGTTCATTACCTTGCGTCTGACTAAATATAACTTTTACTACTAGAAACCAAAGTCAAAATCTACGTAAAATTGTCTGACTTATATTAGCATATACTACTGATTCCAAAGAATAATATAAAAAATGTATTGAAATAAATTTTTTTTCATTTTACCACTTGTCGGACCAAAATTGACTTTTACTACTGGGAATAAAATTTAAAAAATTATGACTGTAGGTCTGACTAATTATATCAACAAATTTTGATCATTCAATATTTTTAATAACTTTTGATATTAGTAGTAAAAGTCAATTTTCTAAGTAGTGCAAGTCAATCGTAATCTACAAAATTTGTTTAAAATTCTTGTAATTCAAAAAAAGATAAATCTTACGGATTTAAAATTTTTTAATATTTTCTAAGTAGTACAAGTCGGTTTGATTCAAAAAAAAATTTTTTTTTAAATTCCTGTAAATTGAATATCAATAGTTCACTACAAAATCTAGTATCGCACGATGAGTAACTTTTATAAATACATTTTGGTTATCCGGGGGTATTTTATTAATTTAAAAGAAAAATACGTTTCGCTTTTTTCCATTTTTCACAATTCTTGGCGGCGACAGTGAGAACATTCTTAAAAATTTATTTTCCTGTGTATTTTTTGCGCCACTCTAAATTATACATTCAATTATTTATTTTAAAATACCACAAACACATTTCCTTTTTCTCCTTTTTTTTATTACCAAAATTTTATTTTCCCTTCCTTTTTCACACTTTCCAATTACCAAAAGAGTTTTTCTCACGACATCACGTTTGACCCCATTCTTCTATTACGACCATTAAAAAAAAGAAAGGATTTTCCAGCTCCCTATCAAATTACGAAACGTTTTCTTTAATGTCTCACTTCCTTCACGAATATTCCCTTGTGACTTGGACAGAATTTTTTTTTATACCTAGAATGAAAATACAATACTATTGTTTTACAAACATTTTAAGGTATATTATACCACCTCTCGCCTTTGAAACATTAGCTACTTTCTGGAATTTTTTTTTAAATCCCTATGGACTGTCAGGTAAAAGATTTTTAGAAGAAAGATTTTATTAAAAAGACTTTTTTTTAAAATAAACTATTACTATTTGTAAAATTAAACTTAACCTGTTTAAAATTTCTGAAAATTTCTACTTTTTGAGAATTTTCATTTCTTTTCAAGTTAATTTTACTACACGGTAAATTTTACTATAAATTAAATTTCATTATAAAACAAATTTTACTAGAAAGGAAATTTTTAGAAAAAATTATTAAAAATTTTGTACAGAAAGGAAATAAATAGTATAAAATAGTTTCAGCTTGACAAAATGGTTTTCTTTAGTAAATTAGTTGGAATTAACTAATTATTATTTTTAGTAGTAAAATATAATTATAGTCGCCCAGAATTTTTTCAAATTGCGGTTATTTAATCATCAGTCATTAATACCTTTTAATTCAGTAGAAGAAACCAAATTTGGTCAGACAATTATTCTCCTTTAAATTTCCAGTATAGAAATAATAAAAGAAGTTTAAACACAGTCAAATATAACACAGAACAACAAGACAAATTATTCCAATATTTTTTAATGAATTAAATTAAAATTAATTTATTTTATCCATATTTCTATTTTAAAACAAGAAAAAAAATTTTTTTTTCCGTTACCAAAACGAACAATGGATATTATAACTTTTTGATTCGGAAAAAAAAATTTTATATGGAAAGTACTGAGAGATATGGAAATCTGTCTTTTGTCATGTTTCTAAAGCTTTTGAAACGCTTATATAAAGATTTTTACCAATGCTTTCCTTTCTCATGTTTTTTACTCTTTTATTTTTATTTCATATACGTCAAACAGTTTCAAACTGAAGTAGGTATCATTCATGTAAATCCGATTGAGCATTAATATAGCAAGCATAAATTTTAAAGGCTTTCCATTACACATATTACGAAGCTTCCTTATTTTTCTTTTGCTATCCATTTATGATATATATTATATACATGTATATCGTGTTTGAATTTCATTTTTATATTTAGTTTATAGAAGCATTTAATTAGAAAATTTTTATTTTTGATATTTATTTTAAATCAAACTTTATTCAATTAGTACACACATTTTAGTAAAATAAAAAATTGGTAAAGAATTTTTTTTTAAAAGAAAAAATTGTACAATTTTCCAATATATACAACACACAGTTTTCTATAAATATTGACTAAAAATGTATATAGAATTTTATTAATGTAATATAGAATGAAAAACAAATATTATTATTAATTTCCTAAAATAATTTTTGACAATGTGAAATTACAATGTAATTAAATTAAAATTTACATTTCATTTAAATTTAAATTTAAATTTTTTGTCTGACCAAAATTGGTTCATACTTCTAAAACTAAAATTTTAAACAATTTCTGTCTGACCATGGCTAGTCCTTACTACTAACACCAAAAAGTTTAAGAATTTATTGACTTTTACTGCTGAATCGACTTGATACGATAAATTTTTCTAATTTTGTCTGACTATAACTAGTTTTTACTACTCATGTTGAAAATAAAATGATTTTTTAACATTTTCGTCTGACTTAAATTACTTTTTACTACTGATTCTAAATGTATCAGATGTACATTATTTTATTAGAAAATTATTCTTACTATAAACGACACTCACTACTAATTTTTATAAATATAAAACAATTTCGTTTTTTACTTATGTCTGACTAAAACTGCTTCCTACTACTAATGACAAAAAATAAAAAAAATTTCATTTCGTTTTGAACAAATATTTTGACTACTAATTCAAATTTAAAAATATATATTGTGCATTGTCTGACTATTACTGACTTTTACTACTGAATCGAAAAATATTACAATGAATATTACTTTAAACGACTTTCACTAAGTTTTTATTAATACAAAAAATGTCGTTTGACTAAAACTAGTTCCTACTATTAATGACAAAAATGCTAAAAAATTTCACTTCGTGTAGAACAATAAATATTTTGACTACTAATTCAAAATTAAAAAAGATATATATTAGGTCTCGTCTGACTACCACTGATTTTTACTACTGAATTAAAAAAATCGTAGGTTTCATACAATTATAAATTTATATATTTTTGTCTGACTTAAACTACTTTTTACTACTTATACCGAAAGTACAAAATTGTTATGTCACAAACTAAAGATTTTTGTTTCATAACTAAAAGTATAATTTTTTTTCAAGTCAAGGAAAATAAGCTTCAATTTCACTTAAATTAATTTTCACTTCCCTTTTCTATTTTAATTTTCACTTTTGATTGTTAATTTTCTTTCCACTATTACGTGCCCTTTAAAAAATTTCCACTTTAACTTTAAATTAATTTTCATTCTCCTTTCTAAGTGCAAAGAAAAGTGAAAATTAATGAAAGTGAAAATGAAAAGAGAAGTGAAGATTATAAAATTCTCACTTTCCTCTCTACTTTGAAAGGTAAGTAAAAATTTACTTAATGAAAAAAAAATCAAAAAACTTTAATTAATTTTCACTTTTATTTCCTCTTTGAAAGAGAGGGGGAAATAAATTAAAGTGAAAGTGGAAAGGGAAATTTTTAAAGTGGAAGTGAAAAAATACTCGAAAATTAATTAAAGTAAAGTCAAAAGCGAAAAGGGAAAATAAAAATTATTAAAAGTGCAAATTAATTAAAATGAAAGTGGAAATGGAAATCGAAAAGGAAGAGAAGAGAAATAACATAATCGACCCTTTGGACTACTATTCTCCTTTCATATTTACGATTTCCTCTCTTAAAACAACAATTCCATTTCCTTTATTTCCTCCATCAGTTTATTAATATTCTATAATTTTTCTTTAATTTCTTTTATTTTTAAAACAAAAAATAAGAAGACAGATTTCAAGCCAAGTAACAAGTTGAACTCTACTGCCGCACATTTTAATCCCATCTTATTAATTTTTTGTTTGTATAATTTAATTTAATTTCTTAAGAAAGATAATTTTTAATTCATTCTTATCGTGACTTTTTTTCATCTCTCTCTTTCTCTATCAAATACGTATTATAAAAGTAATTCCTTTTTTTCTCTTCTCGTTTCAAAAGCGCAAAATATTTGAAATGGCAACTTGGAAAAATATTAAAATAAAAATGAGAGCTTAACTGAACGAAATGTACTTTAATCGTTTTCCAATTTTTTCCCCGAAGCCTTTACCTCTCTCGGTGAAAGTTGGATTATCGCTGAAATAGCAAAACCTGCAGTGTAGAGGCCTTTTCATGCAGTACCGAATTTTGCCAGTCTAGCGGCAGTAACTTTAGCTTATTTTGCTACTTCAACGGTCTCTCCCCCCCCCTCTCTCTCTCTCTCTCTCTCTCTCTCTCTCTCTCTCTCTTACTCTATTTTTCTCATTCTCCGTTTTTCTCTTACTCTCTATTACTCTTTCGTTCCGTTTTAATAAAAAGCACATCGTCAGTAGTGTCGAAAAATTGAATTCGATCGCGTTTCTTTTTTGACCCCCTCGAACACGACATATTAGGCTATACGCTCTCCTCTTTCTCTCATTTTCTCTTTTTCTCCTTTTTAGTCCTTCATGTTAAAAACTTTGAAGCGAAGAATTTCATTTTAAGTCTCGAGGAGAGGAGCAAAAAGAAAAAAATATGTATAACGTGAGAATGATTTTTAACAACACGAAAGTCTCTGGCAATAAAGTTCAACAAGCTTTTCGGCTAAGTGTTACTTGGGTTGAAGAAAATGTCACTTTGGTCTCTCTCATCTTACCCAAAAATGTGTCGTAGCGTGTATATGCGCGCATGTGACAAAGCTTTATGTGTTGTGACTGTCTTTGTGATGGCCTTTCGTGTTATGTGTTTTCCTTTAGCCGTGACTTACAAGCGAATAGCGCCACGACAGAGGATCATGCACGATGCTCTTAAAACAACAGATCTAAACAAATCCAGGCCCAATGTTTCTCGTAAGCGTAAAAAACCCGGTTCAGGTATGTTCATTTTTATCATAAAAAAAAAATTTATTTTCTACTCTCTAATTTTTTAACATTTTATATTAAGCACATTGCATGAATGCTCGTATTTATAAAATATAGTCGAATTTATTTTTCATTGTTATTATGATGAATTTTTTTTTTTTTTTGCATACTTTCTAAATGTTCATTATTATCTCATAATTATTTCGATACAAATTATATTTATAATAACTAGTAAATTATAATGAGACAAACGAAGTAGATTATAATTTATAGTAGATATATTATAATGTAATGAAATATTTATTATAAAATATTTTATTTATATAAATTATATTATATATTATATTATAATAATATAATATTTATATAATAATACATTACTCCCAAATAAGGGTAATTGGGGCAATATTATGTGATATTATAATTATTAATTGATTACTATTAATATTATTTTTATTATTATTTACTTTAATTATACATTGTTCGTGCTCCTTTTGGCTATGAACGAGCTTCCGGCATTATCTTTTTAATATTATTGATTATAAATTTATAATTCTAATTCTATTTATTAATTATAATAAAATAGAATATAATACTATAATTTTTCATAGTATAAAATTACTAATTGTAATTATGTGGGTGATTCTTCTGAAAGTGACATTTTTCATATTTTGATTAACTTTACAACAATTAACTCAATAATAATTATGGACAATTTTCATAGTAAAAATCAGGAGAAGCGAAAATAGAAGAAAATTTAAGATTTTGTTACATTATATATTAAAATAAAGAATATTCTAAATATACATTTTTTTAGAAATAAATATTCAAAAATTTTAATTCAAAACCTACTGAAATTCAATTATTTAAATATAAATTGAAATTGCAACTCTTCCAACATTCCATAATTAAACTTATAATTAAACTTTAGTTCTATTCGAAAATTTAACTACAACACTTGAAAAATTTAATTATTTATATATATACTTCAAAAATTCAATTATTCTTAAAAATTGAATATTCACAACAACCAAAATTCAAAAATTAAAATTTAAGAACTGCAAAATTTAATTATTTATAAAAATTGCAGTTATAATAATTGTAAAATTCAATTGTTCTTGAAAATTGAATATTAAAAACACACAGAATTCAAAAATTAAAATTTTTAAACTTTCGAATTTAGTTATTTATAAAAATTGCAATTGTAATACTTCCAAAATTAAATTATTCTTAAAAATTGAATCTTCACAACAACCAAAATTAAAAAATTTAAATTTAAGAACTGCAAAATTCAATTATTTATAAAAACTGCAGTTGTAATAATTGCAAAAATGCAATTATTTTTGAGAATTGAATATTAATAACAAAAAAACTTCAATAATTAAAATTTTCAAACTTCAAAATTCAGTTATTTATAAAAATTGGAATTTTCTTCCAAAATTCAATTATTCTTAAAAACTGAATATTCAAAACAACCAACATTCAAAAATTAAAACTTAAGAACTGCAAAATTCAATTATTTATAAAAATTGCAGTTGTAAGAATTGCAAAATTCAATTATTCTTGAAAATTGAATATTGAAAACAAACAAAATTCAAAAATTAAAATTGCAAAACGGCTAAATTCAGTTATTTATAAAAATTGCAGTTGTAACACTTTAAAAATTCAATTATTCTTAAAAATAGAATATTCAAAACAACTAAATTTCAATTACCTTTAAAAATTAAATTTGCAAAACTGCAAAATTCAATTGTTCTTAAAAATTGAATATTCAAAACAACAAAAATTCAAAAATTAAAATTTCAAAACTGCATAATTTAGTTATTTATGAAATTGCAATTGTAATACTTTAGAAATTCAATTGTTTTTAAAAACTGAATATTTAAGGCAACCAAAAAAGCTTTAAAAATTAAAGCTAAAAAAATGCTAAATTCTATTATTTATAAAAATTGCAGTTGTAACACTTGCAAAATTCAATTATTCATTAAAATTGAATATTCTAAACAACTAAAATTAAATTATTTTTAAAAATTAAAGTTGCAAAACTGCAAAATTCAATGATTCATTACAATTGAATTTACAACCTTATGATAAAAGTGAACTTCAAAATCGACAAATTATCAAAAAAAGAGTTAATATTTTTTAAAAATGCGTTAGAATATTTTATTGAAACAAAAATAATAAATTTCAAATTTATTTTGTTGGAAATGTAAACTTTAATGATAGAACTTCTTATTGATAAAAAAATTGTAATGTCTATTAAAATGCAACGTTTAATTGGTGTAAGTGTTGAGAATTAAATTCTTAATCCTATCACCAAAACGAATTTAAAATTTAATTTCTTTTTTTTCACCTCTGAAATACAAAATTATGACATTCAATTAACTTTTGTTTACTCATTACTTTTGTTTATACTCATATTGTTTTGACAAAAATTAACCCAATAACCAAAATAATTTTCAAAAGCAAAAACAGTATAATTTCAAATGTATAAATAAATTGAAGTAAATAAATAAGTAGAAAAATGAAAATACAAAATTAGCACCTTAAGAATAATCATCCACATATTATTCAATTTATTTCTTTTTTTTTGAAAAGTTTATGTTCATTAATATTCTAAATAAAAAATATTTACAAACATTAAAAATATTAAAATATACTGTTTGATTGGAAATTAAGTTTCATGAATGTTTACAAAACAATATTTCAAAAATATTTGACACTAATTGAGAAATTTCATAAAGAAGAAAAATAAAATAATCTCTTTTTATTCCAATGCGTGATGATAGTAAATTAACAAATATCGAAATATACATTTTTATTTTTCATATTTTCGATATAATTAAAATATTCATTAAAAAATAGAATCTGTAATGAATCAATTTTCAACTTAATTGCTTTTAAGTGATGACGAGCTCGTTTCCATTTCCAGTTGTGCAAAAGAGGTTAATTAGAATGCTAATTCGTATTGACACTTTCCGGGTGTAATCAATGACAGTAAATTATTCGTTATCCATAATATATTCAGTCACTAGTTCACATTCAGGATATTTACATCATTCAAAACTCGAAATGTTTCCATTTCACATATATATATATATATTTCTTTAATTAAATATTCTTTAAACCAAAATATTTCCCAAAAAAAAATTCATATGCACCTATTTTATTTACTTGATTTTAAAAATATTTTTTAAATGTTTAAATTATTATTAAGATAAACAAAAGACAAAAGAATAGTTAGTAATTTTGTTAAAAGATTAAAATTAATAATAAAACACAAGAAAAGAAAGAGGGGGGAATATACTATAAGAAAGCAAATAGTAATATAAGATTTTAAATAAATAAATTGATAAATAATTTGATTTATTTTGTTTTCTTAATAATATTTCAGATCCGAATCAAACGACAAATAGCAATCACATGGGTAGCCTGTCAGAAGGAATGACCGATCCCGATACGAAAACATTTTACGAAAACTTACCATTTCATGGGATACAGACTCCGCCCAATAAGGTGAGTGATAAAGGGAGAAAATTATTTTTCATAACGTTTCTTGTTGAGTTCAGTTTTTGCATGTTTTTCAGTATTAGTTGGCAAGAGATTTTTTTTTACAATAAGCAAAAAGTGCGAAGCGTGTTTATTATTGTTAGTCGTAATCGAGATTGAAAGAAAAATTCATTTAAAATATATAAGATGAACAAATAATATGTAATCATATAATAATAATAATCCATGCCAAGGGCATTAAATGCGACTGGTTTAAATTCTTTGGTGGTAAAATTCGATTATGTCGGTATTATGAAAGGCGATGAAATAACAATCTAGTTTAATTAACTCATAATCGTAAAGCTAAACTGTTCAAACAGAGTTGTTCGGTTCCTTTTATGTTCAGTGTATTTTAAACCTTTTTTTCTTTATCTAAAGTTTAACTAATTTTCTAAAAAGAGAAAATTTGTTTTTTTAACATACAGTATTCTACAATTTAGCTAATTTACTATAACAATTTGCTAAATTTTTATCGATTTCAAAACAATAGTAAAAGTATGGTTCTAGATCGGAAAAAATTATTCACAATTTTTTGTTAGACGGAAATCAGTAGTATAAATCACTTTTGATCAGACGATTTCTTTAGGTCCCGTATTTTTTCACATGTTTTCAGTAACAATAGTACTGTTTTCAGTAAAATTTAGTTGCAGTAGTAAAAAATGATTATAATTTGTCCTAAACATTTATATTAGTAGAGAACCTTAGTTCTGGTCAGCCTAAACGTTCAAAATTATTTTTGGATCAATTGTTTCAAACTCCGGCTTCTTAGATTTTATCCGTAAAGTCCTTAAATTGATTAAAAAAGGACAAAAAAATTCGTCAATTGTACGATATAATTTGGAGAATTTCAGAGAAGTTACAAATAATTGCAAAATTCAATTATTTTCAAAAGTAATAATATTCTTCGCAGAAATTCAATTATGTTAAAAAAAATTTTTTAAATTCTCTTCAAAATTTCAATTATCTTTATAAAAAATAATAAAATTCTTCTCCGAAATTCAATTATTTCGAAAAATTTTAATAAAATTCTTGGCAAAATTACAATTATTTTCAAAAAATTTCCTCAATTCAATCATTTTTAATATACCTATTATTTTAATAAAATTTTCCAAAAAATTCAATTATTTATAAAAATTTTAATAAAATTCTACCCCAACATTTAATTATTTTCATAGAATAATAAAAATTTTGCAAAAATTAAATTATTTGCAAATTTTTTATGAATTTCTTCGCAATATAATTCAATTATTTTTCTAAATAATAAAATTCTTACAAGGATTCAATTATTTTTTTAAATAATAAAATTCTCTTTAGAAATTTAATTATTTTCAAAAATATTAAAACTCATCGCAGAATTTCAATTATTTTTAATAAACTTTTAATCGAATTCCTCGATATATGTAATTATTATTAAAAATTTCAATAAAAATCATCAAACGAATTCAATTGTTTAAAAATTTGTTGATAAAATTCTTTATCAGAATTTGAATTTTAAGAAACATTTAAATATTCAATAAATTATTTATTCATGTATTTAAATAATTAAATTCTACTACAATTTTCTATTAAAAATTGATTTAAAAATGAATTTCAGTGAAAATTTTAGATAATAATTAAATATTAAAAGCATTATAGCGTGAATTTTTAGAAACTATTTAATTTTGAAATTCATTTTTTTGAAAAAGTGTAATTGAATTTTCTTGTATATTATTTGACGGTTTTATTTTCTAATATATATTTAATTGAAGAATTTACGAATAATTGAAATTTGTAAAATTGAATATTGTAAATAAATTGATTTTGAAAATTGTCGAAGTATTTATTCGAAAATTAATTGATTGAAAGAAAAATTTTAGTGAAAAATTCTTAAAAATAATAATTGAATTGAAATGATGAAAATAATTTTGAAGAAGTACAATATTCTTATAATATAAAATAATGATTTTATCAATTTGCCATTTTTAATTATTATAAAAAATGAAGAAATCGATCATATCGATCAATCGATCGATATCTACATGTTTTATAGTTATGAAAAAAATTTAATTTATACTTTTAAGTAAAATTTTATTCAGACAAAACATTTAATGGGTAAAAATCTAATAACCAAAAAAACATAAAAAAAACGAAATTACTATTGTAGAAAAGAATTTCGTTTCTTTTTATTGTAACTTTTTTTTGGTACATTTTTAACTTTTGAGATGAAAAGGAAATAAAAAATATGTTTTTCTCTGATTTTTATCAAACTGTAACAGGAATGACAACATTTTTCTAAACGCACAGAATATTGGATAACCTTTTATCTGAAAGTAAAGCCATTCGGTCAGTCTGATAAGAGAGTACCGAAAAGAAATAGCATTGTGAGAGAGAAGCACTAAGTGAGAAACCGATACTCCATTCCTATTGTCTAAAGGAAAACTAAAGAGAGATCTTGAGAAATCCTTTAAGTCAAGGCGAAAAAGTCATCTAGAAAATTCCATTAAATATTATTTCACCGTAGATTAAGAAACTCGTTTATCGACTTCTTTTTCATTCTTTTAAAAAATAATTTTTCTAATTAGAGCGGAAGGACTTAATTAACCGTATTAATTATTTTTTGGTTCTTTTATGTATATACATATATATATACTAATAGAATAATAAATTACTGTCCATTTAGAAAATCGGAAATTTCATTCATATTCAACAATGATAAATATTGAAATAACTTAAAAATACAAATAATCTAGAAATATTAGATAAATATAAAGAATTGTACATAAAATATATAAATATGAAAAATGGAAAGGAAAATTCAAAATTTAAAGAAAAAATATATTTAAAAATTATACAGAGTAGATAATAAATAATGGATGTAAATATAAAAAATAGATGTTTCATTAAATATTAAAAATCGAAACTCTTTCGATCACTTTTCATGAATGTCAAAATAATTTCATCCTGATGTCTTTACTAATATATATATGTGTATAAGAATCAATCATTACGGATGTTGTGATTAATCATAATATTCGATGACTTGAAATTGACAGTTGTGATTGATAGTAATGTATGATTAAATATTTCTCTCGAATTTTAACAGAAAACGATAATGAACTTTATATTTAATATATTGGAAGAAACAAACGAAAATACACTGAGAAAACGATTTATTTGATTCAAACAAATTTTGTTTAAATCAAACTTAAAATATTTTTGCTATACAGTCAAACAAATTTAAGTTTAATTTAAACATATTTTTTGGTTCATGTATAGAAATAATATATTTGATTTAAACATAATTCATGGTTGAATTTAAATGATTTATAATCAATTTTTAAATTTAAATCAAGCATAAAATTTTTAAACATATTTTTTGTTTAAACCAAGACAAAAAATATGTTTGAATTAAACATTACTATTCAAAAAAATATTATTTTTTAATCAAAGCAAAAAAAATATTTTTTATATATTGGAATGAAGCTTACAAACTAATTTCAATTAAACAAAATCACTTAAAAATATTTTTTTACTTGAATCGAATATAATATTTTCTCAGTGTATTATCAAACTTGTAAAATATGCAAATCTTTCATTTTTAATGTCACACAATTTTCTTACGACAAATTATACATAAATAAATAGTAGTGAGTTTGGGGAAAAAGGAAATATCATTACTATTCAATGACAGACAATTCCATTTTTCTCAAAGTTCACATTATACTTTTTATCTTACAGCAAAAATATAGTTATTGAATTGTTAATTTTCATAGACGATATTCTATAGATATATGTTAATAATTATAATAATTCTGTTCTCGAATTATTATTCAATAATAATTTCGATTCAAAGACATTGTAATTCGATAATGATTTTGATTCGAAGAAATTGTAATTCAATAATACTTTCGATTCAAAGAAATTGTAATAAAATATTAATAATTTTGATTCTAAGAAATTGTAATTCAATATAATAATTTCGAATCAAAGAAATTGTAATTAACTTTTATTAGATAAAAAGAATTTTGATAAAATAAAAATTGCAGTCTATTCATGTGAATTTTGCAGTGTTGTTCGAGTCTTATATGGCTTTTTTTTAGTGAAAGATGAAACGATTTTTTTAGGATGATCAGCAATTATATTTATCAGTTTTTAAATAAATATTTCCACTGCAAATCGTGAAGTGTATATGCGTACTATATAAACAAAGATAAGTAACTCCTCTCTTAAAAGGGTCTAACTCATTTGGCGAACCGTGATAAATGACTCGGTAATATTTGAAATCTCACGAACTCTCAGACATCCTTGAAGCCGGGAGTAAAGTCACCGTGAAATAATCGCATTATGAGAGTGGAGTGGTGAAAATAGTATACGGTAGCAGAGGAGAGAAAGAGAGAGAGAGAGAGAGAGAGAGAGAGAGAGAGAGAGGAGCAAGAGATGCTTGCAATTCTAAAGTGGTATATATGGAGAAATGAGAAGAGGGGCCAAGGGTATTGCAAAGGTAAAGGGGTACATGACTCTCATTCTCTCTCTCTCTCTCTCCATCATTCTCTCTTTCACTCTTCTTCCTCGTCTCTCTCACTTTCTCTTTCGTTCTCTTTCTCTCTAGCTATATTTTTCTCTCTCAGTCTCTCTTTCTCTTATAAGAGAAGGAGAGAGAGAGACTGAGAGAAAAATATAACAAGAGAGAGCGAGAGAGTAAGAGAGAAAAGTAAGCGATAGAGAGAGGAAAAGAGAGAGAGAGAGAGAGGCTGCAGAATTGAAGAGGGTTGCATTAACGTCTGCCCAAGTTGGGTGACCCTTTGCTTCATTCACTTTCCACCGCCCACTTGATTCGATTGCCAGAAACAGGAACCCTTAACCTATTCAACTAGGCCACGCTCGGCTGAAAATGAAACTTGTTAAGTACATAAATGTAACGCATGTATGTACCTTTCGAAAATTTTCATCAATTATAGTTTGTTGTTCTTCTTCGTTAGACCTCTTAT